TGCAGCAGACCCCCTTGGACAAACTCTCCATAGAAAATTGCCAGCGGCTGACGCATTCAGACCTGACACACCTGTTCCAGTGCCCGAACCTCAGGCAGCTGAAGTCCCTGCATCTGTTTCGCCTCAGGCTCGCGGATTTTAGTCTTGAGCCCCTCCGAGCTCTGCTGGAGGCAGTGGCACCCACCCTCCAGGACCTGCGCCTGGATAACTGTGCGATGGTGGACTCCCAAGTCAAGGCCATCCTGCCTGTCCTAAGCTGCTGTCACCAGCTCAGGGACTTCACCGTCTCTGAGAACCACCTCTCCATGGCCACCATAGAGAAGCTGCTGCGCCACACAGCTGTGCTGCCCAGTTTGGAGAGCATACTGTACCCCATCCCCCTGGAGTATTACAGGACCCAGGGGACTGTGGATAAGGAGAGACTTGCCCTGTTTGGGGATGACTTAATGGGGATGCTGAGGGAGTTAGAACATCCCAACATCATCTGTCCTGGCACCAAGTACTGTCACTAATGTGGCAACAGTAAAATCTATGATGTGGAGTTTTCATGACGTGTAGCCATACCGTGCCCCTGTAATGACCTGGCTCAGTGGGAACACTCAGCAGAAGCTTTGTTCTGGGCCCTTGGAGGCTATAATATAGAACCGGGTGCATTATGCAGGGGGCACCCACGTTCCAGATTCATGCTCCTGTGAATGGGGAAAGGAAGGGACCAAACCCAGGTCCACGATTACAGGGGAAAATGCTGGGGAGTTCATGGGACCTCAGTGACCAAGTGTCCTAGAATCAGAAACATGAATCTGAACTGGTTGGGGAGGGGAAGAGGTATTTGAGCTCCAGCTGCATTGGTGGTAGGTAATTCTGGGGTGGATGATTGTAAAGGAATGATCAGAAATAAGACAATTTCAAAGGCCAAAAAAAAAAAGATGCTCCCCCCCAAAAAAATGTATACACACTTTAACAGTTGATAGCTCAATTTTGAAAATGAAATGTGTTTTAATAAACACTGCTTTTATAATTATTCAAAGTGTGTGTACACATTTTTTGGGACACCCTACATATTTATAACATGTGGCCTTATACTTTTTAGTAACTCAAAATAGTCTCAGGCAGTGATTTTCAACTGGTATGTCACTAGAGGCACACTGGAGTGCTGCAAGAATTATTAAAACATGGTTATTTAGTCAGCGGCACTGACCTCCTTGCCCTTAGACCAGCGGTTCTCAACCTGTGGGTCGCGACCCCTTTGGGGGTCAAACAACCCTTTCACAGGAGTCGCCTAAGACCAAATTTTCAATGGTCTTAGGAACTGAGACACTGCTCCTCTATCTGTCTCCAGGCGTGTCCACCCACATGCAGATACACCCACATATGAGTACCCAGCGTATTAAAGGGTTGCGGCATTGGGAAGGTTGAGAATCACTGCCTTAGGCTGTCAAAAAAAAAAAAAAGACAACTGCCAACAATAGCCCGTGTGATTGAATCAAAATTATGCCTTTATTTATTTTTGTCAGATCAGCATACACACACACACACACAAACACACACACACATATACTAGAGGCCCGGTGCATGAAATTTGTGCGCAGGAAGGAGGGTGTCCCTTAGCCCAGCCTGCACCCCCTTGCAGTCCAGGACCCCTCACTCCTTACTGCCTGCCTGCTCACTGCTCCTAACCATTCAGCTCGTTGCTCTTTAGCGCTGCCACGGGGGTGGGAGAGGCTCCTGCCACTGCCGCTGTGCTCACCAGCCATGAGCCCAGGTTCTCGCTGAGCGGTGCTCCCCCCGTGGGAGCTCACTGACCACCAGGGGCAGCTCCTGCATTGAGTATCTTCCCCCTGGTGATCAGTGTGCATCATAGCAACCGATCATTCTGGTCATTCTGCTGTAACAGTTGCTTAGGCTTTTATTATACAGATATTTGTTGTTGTGCCACAGAATTTTAGTAATTAGTGTAGGTGTGCCATAATATAAAAGAGGTTAAAAATCACTGGTCTAAGGCATTGAAAAATAAGGAACATGTAATCCAAAATAATAATAGCATTGGTTTTTGTTATTTCCTTTACCAGTGGGAAAATTCCTAGGGTCTTTGTAGTGAAGGAAAATGTTTTTTTGTGAGCTTTGGCTGTGCACAGTTGCCAAGTGTCAGTCATCTACACAGATATCATCAAACATAAGCAAAACAAATTTCAGTAGCTACTGGAAGAGCAACAGTTACTTATGTAAGTAACTTTGTGCTAAGCTGAGTAAATATGCATGAAGTACATTGATCAGTGTTAAGCACACTATGTGTGATATTTAGCCTGTAAACTTATCCTTGTGATAACTGCAAATACAGAGAAATTGAAAAACCAAAATAATTTTGAGTGGGATGTAGCTGCTGACTGGGAACAATACAGATTAGAATCCCTAAATATCTAACTCATGAGATGCATGACCAACATATGTGATGGCATTGTATTCTATAATGTAGTTTTTTTGGCTTACTTGTATATATGTAGTTTATACTCAAATAGTTTCTCACTGCATAATAAAGAAGGTTTTTACACTTTAAATTCCCCCATGAAGATTATCTGAGATGGAAGGCTATTCAAGTTATATGATCAGTACTGTGACCCAAATGTATTAAACACACACACACACAAACAAAGCAACAAAAACACAAGAAAAACCTGATGGGTTTCTGCAGTTAATTCTGGATGTTTGTGAAGCTCATTCCACCTTGGGTGAAACGTTTAATGTAGAAAATGACATCTCTTGACAGTAATCAGTGGTATGAATGTCCCAAGGAGGTAGGTATCCTTTAGGGCAGTGAGCAGGAGCTGGGAATAATTAAATAAAGAAGGAAAATTCATCCAGGAATCAGAAAAGTTTTCCTGGAAATTTTAACAGAGATAGAACTGCAGGACCATGCGAATAATGAGTCATGGAGATTGTAAATAATGGATGTTTCTCTAGTTTTGTAGACCTGTGATAGTAACCATTGTCATAGGTTTTGTTTGTTCCTTTTTAATTAGTACTATAGTGGGTCATGGTTTTCATTTGACTATTGGACCACTCTCATATTTATCTGCTATTCTAGAGAGTCAAACAATTAAACATTACATATTTTCTTGAAAATAAACATGATTTCCCTAGCTTTAAAGATTGATGCTTTATATTTAGCTACCAAACCCATAGGAAGAATTATTAAACCCAAAGAAGTTGGCATTTATTAATTTATATAATCTTTTTTTTATATATATATTTTATTGATTTTTTACAGAGAGGAAGGGAGAGAGATAGAGAGTTAGAAACATCGATGAGAGAGAAACATCGATCAGCTGCCTCCTGCACATCCCCCACTGGGGAAGTGCCCGCAACCCAGGTACATGCCCTTGACCGGAATCAAACCCGGGACCCTTCAGTCCGCAGGCCGACGCTCTATCCACTAAGCCAAACCGGTTTCGGCTAATTTGTATAATCTTATAACTGACCTATACCTATTGCTTTGTTCAGAAATAAAGCAGAGAGCTTTCTAAATAGCGTTTTGTGTACACAATAGTCTATTATCAATTTAAATGTTTGTGGGCAACATTATTCTTATAATGTGATTGAGCTATCTGCTGATAATCAAAGTATCCAACGCATATTCTGCATTTTTATTTCCTAACATGAATAAATAAATACATTAGCTAGCAAATGTTAATGACCACTTACAATAAGTAGATTCACAGATAAAATCTGCATTAAAAGATCATTAGCACTGGGGGTTGAATACAAAACTATGGAAATGAGTTCCAAACACTTAATTCTCTCATTCTATCTTCCCAGAGTTAGATACATACCTCAAGATATAAATGAACCCAAGACAATTTTAGTGGCATATGGGGTAACATATTTCTTTTTTGCATTTATAATTAGACACAGCGAGTCAGAGATCTCAGCCACAGTGCTGGTTTGAGCTCCTTGCACGTTTCCTGAGCCTGCTCAATGATAGATCTCAGCCTTGGATGATTCCTCTACCAGATGTCATATGAACACATTATAAAGTACTATCGCTTGGCTTTCGGTTACAATCTGCCTTTGGTTTGGAATAGTACGGTATATATCTTTTTCTTTTTTTCTCTCTCTATCTTTGTCTCTCTTTATCTCTTTCCAACTCTCTTTTTGTCTCTCTCTCTCTCTGTCACTCTATTTCCTGTTTTGATTAATTTTCTGAAACTACTAGTAGTCATTAGTACAGAATTACCTATAGTTGCTCACATATTCTACCCATTTTTTGTGAAATCCCTGCCACGTTTCAGCTTCTAGGTGACGCCATGGGCTGGAAAGATCACTGGAAAGTTTCCAGATGGCTTCAGAAGTGGTAACATTTGGCCTCAGAGATATTTCTTTAGTTCTTCTCCATATCCAGCATTTAAGTATTAACCATTTAACACACTTACACACACCTCACATATGTTCTTTCAGAAACGGAAGGCACATTGTTCTAAAACAAAAAGGACTAGAGTACTTTCAAGGTCAAAGACCCGCAGCCATGGACAGGGGTGCGCTCAGCAGAAAGGCAGGCCTCACAGCTGCCGCACACCTCTCTCTCCCCAGGGCTCCCTTGCCCCTTTTAGAGGAATGCATTCTCCTTGGATACTCTCTTTTCCTGATCCCCAATGTCCAGAGAATAGAAGCAGGGCCAGGGTGTGTCCGCAGCATTATAATTAGACTCTGCCCACAGCATGATTCGATGGTAGTCTGAGCCTCTCAGCTTCATTTGTAACCCATCTATTTTCCAAACACTGCTTCTCAGGCCTCCTGTCAACATGAGTTCTCTTTATCATCTAATTAATTTTTGTTTTGCCTATTTTACCGTCAGCTAACTACTATTGCTTGTATCCCAGAGACTTGACCAGTATGATACACACTCCCACAGTGGTCCTCTTATTTGGTAAACATTGTAATAACTCTGTACTGTATGGGGGGAAATGCTGTGAGTGCGTGGGTGAGCATGAGGAGAAGCCTCGGGAAGTACATGGAGAACTTTCCTGGTGATGGTCACAGTGGAAATTGTAATATCCTCTGATAGCTCACATATTTTCAAAGTAAACTAGAAAGTATCTTGATTTTCAGAGATATTACAATTAAATGGTTACTTTCCTAATTTTCTCACCAGAACACATTTTTATAAATTGCCTTTGTTTGGAATGATGAGAACTATAGTGGAGACTTTAGAAGTGAGAATGGAAAATCAGAATGAAAGGCCTTTTCCCCACCCAAAGATGGAGATTTGGGCTAGAGTTTCTCCCACTTTGTTTCCCAAGATTAATACTGTTACAGCTTTCCAAAATCCTTGTGTGTAAGTAGCACCTCTGTTATTAAGTTTGTAGTCCTTTCTGTTTTAGAAGAATGTGCCTTCACCTTCCTGAAAGAACATATGTGAGGCGTTATATGGTTAATACGTAAATGCTGGATATGGAGAAGAACTAAAGGAATATCTCTGAGGCCAAATGTTACCACTTCTGAAGCCATCTGGAAACTT